AACAGTTTAAAACCACAGGAGAAACATTGTCTAGAAATCTCTAGCTATAATAATAAGGCCTTTGAAGAGACAGATTTGGGGTTTCTTACAAGCACTGAGGTAAATCGCTGTTCCGACAGGCGCAATAATTTTTAAATTATTTGCGGGACGTGTGTCTGCAAAATTGATTTAAAATATTATGAACTGCAGTTTTTTTTTAGTTAAACTTAACACTTACATAGTTGTCTGCAGTGTGTTAGTGAACAAGGGGGCTGAGAGACTTGCGTCCTCCAGCTGTGGAGAGAGAGAACCTGCTGCTCGCGGTTTTTCTCTTCTCACTCTAGTGCGCACAAAATCACAATGGAATAAAGAAGTTTGCTTCACAGAAAACGTTTAAAATGACTGCCACCTTCTCCACCATAATCTGTAGTGGAATTAGCTTAGTTTATGAATGTTAATGGTCAGTAATAACGATTTATTATTACTTATTAATATTCTGAATTAACTTTATTGTTAATGTGAATAAATAAATATAACAAGACCCCGCCAGCTCGTCTGAGCGGACTCTGTACTGATTTATTCATTTAGAAAGGGAATTATAACTGCTCCTTGTGAAGTAGAATAATCATTTACAAGTTTTGCAAAACGTAATATCAGCTTGTAGTAAAATCAATCGTTTAAGTGACTTTTTCAGTGAGGCAAATAAAACATGTGATTTTGTGTGGTTAAGTAGTCTAACATATAACAACAAACATACAAAACATAACAACAAACATCGAACAAAAAGCAAGCGAGGAAGTAATGAGTTTAGATGAAAGAATAGCAAATCTAGCTCAGTTCCACACAACTATCCAGGACTACCAAGATAAAAAAAAAAAACCTTTTTTATAAGGGACACAGCTTAACGCATAACTAAATACGTGGATTTAACATTAGTGGGTATTTCTTGGTCTCTCTTTCTGCGAGTTTCTCTGATGCGCTGGAGGATGAAGTCCTTGATGCGTGGAGCTTGCGATGAGAATGGAGGGTACGCAAGGTGCAAATTTCAAACTTAGTATAGTTTGGCGGAAAAATAAGAAATCGTGGACTCCAGTGAGGCACGCGCGTGTAAAGAAATGCGGTCTGCCCCCTCATAGGGGACACCTCTGGAGAGCTTCTTTCGGAGATCTTTCTGTGCAGAGCTTTGAGCGTAAATCGGTTTTAATGTAAGTTAATGAGAGCGTAAGTCTTGGGTCAAAAAGATTTAAATGGCTCCGCCCACTCGTTGGCAAAGAATAAAGTGAATAAGGCTAGATGTTTACTTTCTCTTGTTTATTTATTTGTTTGGTGCATGTACTCGTGTGCGATCGTAAAACACTCTGCCTCTCCTTTCATTCTGCCCCGAAGCCCCAGTTGGCCCTCTTTGGCCCAAGGTATTTGGCGGGCCGAAAAAGGCTGGCCCCAAGATTTGGCCCGATTAGGCTCCGGAAGTGACAGTGGAAACGCGATTGGCCTTGGCTCGCTTGCTTTAGGCGCGATAGTGGAAACGCGGCTATTGAGACCAACTCGTTTTTGACTTGTTGCAAAGACCATTTGCTGTTGCATATCCAGCCATCAAAATCACCAAATATTTCTTTAAAAAATGTATTACTCTAATAACAAAAACATTTTAAGTAATGATTTATTGAATCATTGAATGAAAGGTGTTTTTGTTTTCAAAATTATAATTTTAAAGTAAAAGACTAAAGTAAAGACTAAAGCTTGATTTATACTTTTGGGTCAAGTGCACATGGATGGTCTGGCACAGCCTTCACACAATTGCACACCCTTTGCCACGAAGAAACTCAATAAAAAGGAACATAGAAACTCCATGACCAGCTACCTTTTCGAAAGTGTTATTGTCAGAGTAACTCAAATAGAACACTAAATTATAAATGCATGGCTACGTGCTTGGTATGTGGCATGGGTTACGACCATCACTCAACGTAGAAGTATAATTCAGCTTTAAACCCCCTCAGCATGAAATTTTAGAACTGCCCCTAGACAGTTGTTTAATTTGAGTTGTTTCACATTATACTTTCTTGTTGTGAAGCATTCATAATAAATTCATGTTACTGTTAATGCAAAATTGGTTGTTTTCTGATCTGGATTTCATTTTTATATTATAATTTAATAAATTTATGCATCTACAATTTATTTGGTTTGGGTGCTGTGGAAAAAAAGCATGCTTTGAAAAAGTTTTGGAACCAATGGTCTTGGTAATCGACAAGACCTACTTTCTTTTGGACTTGTATAAAAAATGACCTGCATCTGAAAAATTCTCAAATGACCCTCATTTGAAACTTTCAATAAAACATTTTTGCAATAATGTAGCCTGAGGCACGTTTCCAGATCATCTGGGTTGGAAATAGTGGTTTGCTGGAGTCAAAAATATGTACTTCTGAGCTCTCAAAAGCTACTTTATCAGACACTAAAAGACTATAAAAAAATGAAAGTGACATTGAAACTTTTCTAAAGATGACCAGGGCTCGAAATTGCGACCATTTTAGTCGCATATGCGCCCGAAAATTAATCTATGCGACCTCATAATATATATGGGAGCATTAGTGCGACTGCAGATAATGGTTGTAGTGCGACCTGTTTTGATTTTTTCTAAAAACGTGCTAAATCGCATTAGTATGGTGTAGGGTAGGGATGCACAATATATCGGAGGCCATATCGTTATCGGCTGATAAATGCTTTTTTTAAGATTATCGTTATCAATCCAATGGCTATATTAGGCCGATGTCTTTAAGCCGATAAATTACGTAATTGTTGCCGCGCACGTGTGGGCAGAACATGTTCAGACTTGTTCATGGATCTCTCCTCACTTTAATTATTCCTTCAAAGTCCATCCTTTCTTCACGTGGTATTGCTGTGCGTTAATAACTCAGTAAGTAACCATTATCCTTATGATTGTAGATATGTTTTGGAGTTAGCTACCCAACACACACACACACACACACACATATATATATATATATATATATATATATATATGTGTGTGTGTGTGTGTGTGTGTGTGTGTGTGTGTGTGTGTGTATATATATATATATATATATATATATATATATATATATATATATATATATATGTGTGTGTGTGTGTGTGTGTGTGTGTGTGTGTGTGTATATATATATATATATATATATATATATATGTGTGTGTGTGTGTGTGTATATATATATATATATATATATATGTGTATATATATATATATATATATATATATATATATATATATATATATATATATATATGTAATCTCCCATTAAAGCAATGTTATTGTAAAAAATATAATTAAACCATATTAACAAAAATAACAAAGCAAAAGAAAGCAGGTGAAACATACTGTGTTTACATACCGTAAAAAAGGATGATCACATGCACACGGTTAATATAGGTTTGTTAATCTGTTTAAAGATAAATTCAAATGAAAGCAGTGACTGCTGCTGCTTACAAAAGAAAATGTTTTTTTTTTTTTTAAATCTTGAGCTCTCGAAAGCTTCAAGACTGTGTGTGCACGATCATCGCTCTTTGTCCAGTCTATTTCAAAGGGAACCGATCGCACCAGTTGTGCTTCCTCTAGGCAAGGGATTCGCGCAAGAAAACGGGAGTGCGCGTGCTTTTTAACAGTCGCGCGCATCACATCACCTGTGCGTGCGAGTGATCATCCTCTCGTTTAGTATTTACCTTCTTTTTTGCTGTTTTGCTCGCGCAGTTATTTTTGTCAGTCGAGCTGCTTCTCGATTCTAAGATCACATTTGCACGAATATAGGGCCATGCTTATTGTCGAACCCTGCTTTTAAGAAAACTACAACTTAAAAATGATTTCCAACCAGCCAAAATGGCAAGTGGAGGGGTCTCTCTAACCCGCCAGAGCTGAAATCTACCCGCATCTGGCAGGTGTTAATGTAAAGCCCTGTGTTTGTATATATGTGTGTGTGTGTGTGTGTATATATATATATATATATATATATATATATATATATATATATATATATATATCTATATATATATATATATATCTATATCCAGCAGAAAAAAGTAACAACAACTTAGTGACAATAGGACAGACCTTGTTTATTTCTAAGAAAATGCTTTTTAGGTACACATTGTTTGATGATTTTATGAGAAGTCTAAAATATGATCCATGATGCAACAAAAATTCAGTTTTACATAAATATTACTGACTGAGGTTCTTGTTGCAGTGTACAGTGAAGCTACAGTTTAAAATCAGAAATGCACATAATAATAATATAATATCATTAGTAATAATAATATTATAATAGTTAATGATTATGATGCACCCTTTTTTAAAGAGGATTTAGATTAATTTACTAATTTCTACATCCAATTCTGCTGTAGTGTCAAGTAAAAAAGACGATAACTCAAACCCGATAGAGGGCTCTCAAGATGAACGGATCAATTCTCTTTACAGCTCTAAACGCATATGATTGGCCTGAATAACTCAAACCCGATAGAGGACTTGAGAGATGAACGGATCAATTATTTTTTCGGTTCTAAACACAAATGATTGGCTTCTGCCTTTCCTGCATAAATGACTCAAAGGACTTAAAATGAACGATACCACCTGCACAAATCTGCGCATGCGCAGATAAACGAATCACTTCCTGCGAGTACTCATAGTTCTCGGGTCATATTGAAAATTCGTTCAAAATGTATGAATCGTTCAAGAACGACCCATCACTACTGCACAGTGACCAGAGGGATTTTGAGACTTTTTTTTTTTTTTTTTGCTGAGTAGTTGCCAGGTCACAATGTGATGCTGTTGTAGGAAAACATTTTCTGACTTGCTCCTCCAAAATATGTCAAAGTGGCTCAATAATTTATAGATAATGAATATGTACCTTGCATTCTTAGATGCTGTATTTATTTCGAAGTTGAATCAGGCTGTTTGTACCTTGATTTTTTTTTTTTTATATCTGACATTAATGATGTTTATATAAAAACTTACTTTTATTTGTTTTGCTTATATTCAAGGCTTGCTCTTGCAAGTTTGAACAAATACTCAGAGGCTGTGAGCTATTACAAGAAAGCACTGGAACTGGACCCTGACAATGACACCTACAAAGTCAACCTTCAAGTTGCAGAACAGAAGGTTAAGGAAACACAGCCAAGCACAGTAGGTCTAAAATAACCACTCTGGTATCAAGCTGTTTTTGCCATTTTGCTGGAAAAATAAGCTTTTTAATTTATGGTTCATGTGTTTGTCTTTGTTAGGCAGGGGGGTTGGGAGGAGTCGATCTGGCTGGTTTGCTGAGTAACCCTGGGTTCATGAATATGGTGAGTATATCCTAGATTGGTGTGGATATATCTTTGTGGTCGTTTACACTTGGCCACTTTGTGTTTTTTTGTTTTCTTTTTTGTTTTGATTTTTCTGAATGGTTAGTTTTCCAACCCTAAAATGGGCAGGTGTAAATGGCTTTCAAAATTCAATCAAGATGGGTATAAATCTGGTGGCTCAAACCACTTCAGGAGATGGTCTGGGATGGATTCCAGATGAAACTGGACCGGTTGAATAACCTGTTTACACCTGGTCACTTCATGCATTTGTTTTGAAATTAGAAAGCTGATCTGATTTGTAAAAATCTGATTTTCCATTTGCACTTGAGCACATCAAAGAATCTCCATTAAATCGATATGATTTCGAGCTTCAAATTCAATAACCAGATGCATTTTAGACCTGTCCGATTTCATCTGGAGGCCACCTCCTCAACTTAGATTTTATTCACAGATGATTAAGATTGGAGTATGCACTGTGAATCTGATGCTTCTTAAAGTTCTCCATGAAAAGATCCTTGCACAGAAGCATTTAAAAAGAGCTTAAAATTGCCAGGTTCCCCAGAGACTGACTGAGACATGCAAACAGAGAGCATGTTTTTTTTTACTAGGCAGAACTAGCAGTTGAAAGGTTAGCGCTGATGTACTAACATCTGCATTTTAATATTATGTTAAACACAACATGATTTTTTCAGAAGACCGATGGGTAAAATAATATGTTAAGCTTTACAAAGTCGTCGAGAGAAAATTAATAAGAAAACTAATTGTAGAAAATGGTTAGATCATCACATAGGAATGTATAGTCTTATGATAATACCGACACACACAATGGATTGGTAGTCCCTGGCAGTGATGCACCAATCTAGCACAAGAATTAGGTCCAGGGAATGTGATGATATTGCAGCCCAAACCATCACTAATCCACCCCCATGCTTCTATCTGTGCATCCAACAGTCTGGGTGGTATGCTTTTTTGAGACTTCTTTACACCATTCACAGTTACTCCTATTGGATTGGTTCAAACTCCTTGGTAGTATACTGACATAACCCTGGATATGGTGGCTCTTGATATATCATTAAGCCTCGCTGTCTTGGTCACAGATGCAGTAGTGATCTACAATGTGTTCTCTTTTGAACTCTGATATAGGGCATGGACTGATTGCTGTTATCAACAAAAAATTTACAGGTGTTTATTAAGAAATTTTGCAGGAAAACTTTAGACCATCTGTTCTCTAACTGAAGCTTAACAAAGGAAGGTTGATGCAACAGGAAAAATACCCAAAGCATAGAATTAAATCAACAACACAATGTCCTCAACAAAAGAAAAAACATTGTCCCAATCAGAGACCTTGGGCCCTATTATACACCCGACGCAATTGTTGTTTGCTAGTTTTAGCTTGACGCAAAAGTCATTTTCATGTTTTGCACCACGCTGTTTAAATAGCAAATGCATTTGCGCTCATACGTGCGCCCATAGGCGTTCTGGTCTAAAAAGGGAGGTGTGTTAAAATGCGTTGCTGGCATGTTGCTATTTTGAGGAACTGTAATAGACTGCACAATTGACCAGATCAAAGCAGGTCTAAAGTCCAGCGCAGAGCTTTGCGCCTCGTTTAAACATTGCTTAATACACATGGGATGTACAGCAATACGCAAATATCTTTACAAATGAAAAAGAATTTAAGGATTAATATATTACAAAAATTTGTTTTTTTAGCCCACATAAATATAAAAACCACTGCCTCCATGCCTTCATCTCAGGGGGCTTTTCTAGTTTATTCATGACAATTTGCTTTTGTATAATGTTATTGTTAGTATTATTATTTATTATATGCATATTTGTTTTATTAAAAACAAGCTTAATTTTGCCCATCTGTCAGGTTTTAGACCATATGGGGCATTATGTGTATTTGGAAATACCTCAGTTTTTTTACTGTTCTTTTTTTTGTTTGTTTGCTGGAAATTAGACCTGAATTTAGAAATACTTTTGAAACTATTTTTTGTGCTTAAGCTAAATTAATTATGTATAGGCTAATGGATGTCATTGCGTAAAACACGTTTCCCTATCCATGAAATTGAAAGGGAAAGTTAAAGTATGATGAGGCTCATCTCTCATTCTCGTGCTACAGATGCTCTGTTTAAACTGTTTTCTCTCTAGTGAAGCATTCAGTTTTTCTACTGACAAAGTCCGCCATGTAAATAGCAAATGCGCCATGGGGAGACGCAACTGACTCTTAAAGGGAATGGGAGATGAGACTCTAATTGGTTTATTTTCAAAAAACACCTATAAATCATTAAGAGAATAAGCTCAACCCTGTAAGACCATGCGTCATGGCGCAAAGAGGATTTTTCCGTCCTTAAAATAGCAAAACTGGATTTAAACGCCCTTAACTTTACGCCTGGATTATCAAAATAGAGCCCCTTATCTCAACCTATTTGAGATGATTTGGCATGACCTCAAGAGGGCGATCCACACCAGACACCCCAAAAATATTGCTGAACAGAAAAAGCTTTGTTAAGAGAAATGGTTCAAAATCTCTCCGGACCATAGTGTGTTGTCTGATCTGCAACAACCATTGCTGCAAAGAGGAATGGGCAAAAATTCCCAAAGACAGGTGTGCCAAGCTTGTGACGTCATATTCAAAAAGACTTGAGGCTGTAATTGCTGCCAATGGTGCATTAACAAAGGATTGAGCAAAGGCTGTGAATACTTACAGTATGTACTAGTTTTTTTTTCCAAGTTTTTTTATTTTTAATAAATTTGCAACAATAATTTTTTTTTTTTAACATTGCCATTATGGGGTATTGTGTGTGTAGAATTTTGAGGAAATTAATGAATTTAATCCATTTTGGAATAAGTCTGTAACAAAGAAAAAATGTGAAGTTCAATGAATACTTTCCGGAGTGTGTGTGTGTGTGTGTGTGTGTGTGTGTGTGTGTGTGTGTGTGTGTGTGTGTGTGTGTGTGTGTGTGTGTGTGTGTGTGTGTGTGTGTGTGTGTGTGTGTGTGTGTGAGTGTGTGTGCGCGCGTGCGTGTGTGTGTGTGCGTGTGTGTGCGTGCGTGTGCGTGCGTGCGTGTGTGTGCGTGTGTGTGCGTGTGTGTGCGTGTGTGTGCGCGTGTGTGTGCGTGCTAGATACACATCTGATCAAAAGATTCATGAAGTAAACAGGCCCCTAGTTTCTCATCATTAGTGCTTGCTTATGCTCATCACTAACTCTGTGTTACTCTCTTTAGGCATCTAATTTAATGAACAACCCTCAAGTGCAACAACTGTGAGTACACAAAAGCATTTGTCGTATACCTAATTCACACAATTTGCTTAATTCTGTCCATAAAGTTGAGGCAAGGTAAATTCTCTTGAAAAGTTGTTAGAAATGTACTCTTGCATTCAAATTGGTTGAATATGGTTTTAAAAGCATGCAATATTTATTGAGCTTTTGTAGCAATGCAATGCTAACCTGTTATAACCAATGGATCCTTTTGACAAGACTGTTATGAAATGTGTGTTTAATGGTAATCAGCATCTTGAGTCCTTAAAAGATTTATTATTTAATCAATTTAAAAAAGCATGCACATTTATACGTTTTTGTATGTATTATATAATCTTTGCATTAAATGATTAAAAAAAAAAGTTAAATGAACCACAGCAAACTTGAAGTTTCTAACTCAAACTCTCTAGAGCCACCACTTATCCAAAGTTTCACTTATGTTTATTGTTAAAACTTTTGAACCGAATGGGCTATAGACAAAATTCTTTTTAATTATATAAAAACTATACAATATATATTAACTATATATGGATATATAACGTTTTTAAATATACACAAATTCAAAAAGAACCACAGGTCAACAGGGAGATTGCAAAAGACCAGCTTCTGCTTTAAATTGGGCTGACTGAATATCTACTAGTAAATATTTACTATTTCAAAATGTACAGACAAATGTAAAATACAATAAAACACCCTAAATCTGTTAAAATGTGTTGATCTGATAACAGTTGAGTTTTCAGCTAGGTATTATTGGAAGATCGCTAACAGGAACAGTGAACAGCTCTGCCAGAGCTCATCTGAAGCTCATTTTTAGGTCTATTTTACATCATGGCAAAAACACCATTTTGCCTCATTAGGCTGTTTTTGTGTTGAGTTTAAAGTAATCATCCAGAGAACAAGAGAGAGTGCATTACTTCGATCATTTTAATATAGCATATTAATAATGAAATCCAAAAATTGTAGTATAAAATTGAGTTGATTTTAAGTTGTCTCACGGTTGAAAAAAACCCTCTTATAAATGAGACATCACACAAGGTGATTTTTGATTTGCTAAAATTAAAACAATCTCAAATGTAAACATTAGCTCAGTTTTATTATTATGGGAATACATGCAATGTAAAATCATATTCCATTTCACAGTGGTAGCACAATCAGTAGCTGACGTGATCCCTGTCATAGAATTTTATGCTGTCATTCAGCCGTTAGAAATAGAAACCCTTTCTAAAATAGAAATTCCAGGTGATGATTAGGACAAAAACTCCTTTTAACATGAAAAATATATATATATTTTTTGCATGTAGGTAAGACAATGTATTCTCGATAATCAGGCATTTGCAGTGTGTGGAAGGAGAGGGGTTCGGGTAAAAAAAAAAGTGTCTTGCATTTGAAGTGTGTTACCTGCTTTAACCACTGGGTGTGAATCTTGTGTTCAACAGCTTTAATTATAACAGATTTCAGTTCTGCCAACATGACATTGCTTTGTGTCACAAACCTGACAACCTGACATTACTTTATGCCATCAATATCAATTTTAAATTTTGTTCTGTTCCCATGTAGTGTATCAGGTATGATGTCTGGGTCTTACAGTCCCGTAAGTAGTGCCACCTCACCAACAGCTGCTGGAGCAGGAGGTGGTGGTGCCAATGACCTCTCCAGCCTCATACAGGCGTAAGTTTCAACACCATTATTCATTGGTATTTCATAGGTTGCAGTTTTACTTCCTAACTGTTTAATGTTATATTTAGTAGAGATAAACTTTTGTTTTCTGTCATGTGATAGTGGACAGCAGTTTGCACAACAAATGCAACAGCAGAATCCTGAGCTTATTGAACAGCTGAGGAGTCAAATGCGCAGCCGACCTCCCAGTAGTGCTGGCAATGATGAACCCTGACACTCCTCATGGTAATTCATGTCATTTTGATATATTTCAGAAATATTTATATTTCAGATGTTTGTTTGATTTTTAGCTTGTCAGGTATTCTAACAACAGCTTGGTAAAGCTGCATATGAGATTAAATTTTTTTTTTTTACTTTTATTTTATACAGAATTGAACACTACTTCATGGACACATGGAAGATGTGCTACTTTTTTTAAAGATATACCTTGTTCCTACAAGTCTGGAACAAGACCAATTTATCCATCTGTAAAAATAAAATTATAAATTAAAAAATGGGTTCCCACGGCCCATTATACCAAATCAGTATGTACACATATTGTTTTGAAAGTGAAGAAATGTATGATCAAATGAAATGTCACACTACCATTATTTTCTCATATAGTAATCCAGGTTAATTGACTGCAATTGTTACCTCAATGATATAATTCAGTTTTGCTGTTAACACATCAGTGATTCATCTGTCTAGTGACAAGTCTCTGTCTGATCTTATAGGGGTCTTACTGGGAGCATGCAGTCTAAACACTTACAAATGTCGGATTTCAAATATGAATTTGAGGCAAATTGTCATGCTTTATAAATGTTTGCCATGCTTGCAATGAATGAGATTGGACAATTGCCATTGCCCTAATTAATAGCTGTGACTCTTAGTTTGTTCTGATTTCTTTTGAAATAAATTTTTTTTTGTCAATTTTGGAGAACTGCTTTTATAACTGTGCATTTAGTCATCTATATGATTACTATAGTAGTCATTTGAGTTGCAGTAAGGAGCACTGAATGTTTTGTGTATTCACACTAGTAGTGACTTTGCAGCTGCCTGTTGCCTTGGGGATTGAAGTTGCTAGTGGGCGTTCTCACCTTGAGGTTACTAAGGTAATGTTTATGATTATATTAACAGAGAGCGATTGAGTTTACTTGCTGCCGAAAAATAAACATTGTTTATGGAAAACACTAAATATAAACGGAATTAATACATACAATACTTAATTACAAAGATAAACAAGTGAGTGAGTGAGTGAGTGAGTAAGTAAGAGAGAAAAAGTAGTTCCTCGTACGAAAGGATTTTGAGACTGGCTGTGTTCGAAACCGCATACTCAATGACCTTAACCAAATGGACATCTCTATATCTACTCATCCCACCCCGCTAATAGATTATAAAGCAATTGCCATGCAGATTAACATATGTACGTCTGAAAACTTAAATGGGAGAACATCTTATTGAAAGCGTAATAGCTCGTGCCTAAAGAACAAACAAGTTATTACAGAAATTAACCATTTAAGTAAATATTTTTCAAATAAAGCAACTGCAGAACAATCTTTTGTTTAAAAACTGAGAATTGTTTAAATATGAATCTGCAAAATACTTAAGATCATTTAGCAATATGTGTGTACGGACTAGAAGAGCAGAGGAAAAGGATATTATAGCCCACATCTCTTCCATTATAGAGAAAGGGGTGGATAATTTATCAGATGATGACCAACTTGATCTAATAGAATTACAAAACAAATTAGATGAGACTTATAAAAAAATAAATAAAAATAAAGCAGAGGGTGCATTCGTTCTTTCTAGAAAGAAGTGGCTTGAAGAAGGGAAGTTTTTTACAGTACAGTGTTTTACAGTAAATTATACACTTACAACTACTCAGAACAATTAACACTCATTTTTATCATCCTTAAAAAATTCTAAAAATATCTCATTAGAAGATAAGATTTTCTGTGACAAGCCCATAACAATTAAAGAAATAATGGATGCCATCAATCATTTAAAAAAATAATCCCCTGGAACAGTATCAGAGTTTTATTAAACTTTTGCCCCACAGATGGCGCCTTTTTTACGGCATGTATTAAATTGGAGTATTTCCAGTCGCAAATTGCCACCAACTATGAATCAAGGTCTTATCACACTTGTCCCAAAGTCAAATAAAGATCTCTTGTTTATTGATAGTTGGCGACCAAAATGTCTATTAAATAACGATTAGAAAATATTTGCAGCAATTCTTGCTGAGAGATTCAAAGATATATTTGACTCAGTTATTGATCAAACCCAGTCAGGATTTATAAAGAATAGACACATTGCTAACAATATCAGACTAGTTTTGGACATTCTCGATTACTCTCACTTAATATCTGAGAAAAGTTATATATTATTTTAGACTTCTATAAAGCTTGATACCCTTGAAAATAATTTAATTATTCTCAGTCTTAAGAGGTTTGGGTTTGGTCCTTTTTTGTAATGCAATTCAAACTCTAAATAGTAATGCTAACAGCTCAATTAAACTGAAAAATGGGACTTTGCCTAGATTTGATGTAAAAAGGGGCATACGCCAAGGATGTCCCTTTTCTCCCTATTTATTTATACTGGCTGCTGCACAATTATTAGCAGACCATATTAAGCAAATGGATCTTGTAGGCATCAGTGTAGCAGAAAGGGAAGTGATCGTCAGTCAGTTAGCGGATGACACTACTCTCTTTTTAAAAAATAGTGATGAAGTTGCCATAGCTTTAGGAGTAATAAATACATTTTCAGAAGCATCTGGTTTACATCTGAATATTGCCATATGTGAATTATTATCTGTGAAAGATTGTGATGCTCCCTCCATTTGCAATATCCCGGTTAAAGAAAAAGTAGTTTTAGGAATTGTTATAGCCTAAAATTAATCCATACGCTGTAGTGATAATTTTACTCCAATTATAGAAAAAACTCATAAAAAAACTTAATCAGTAGCTTCAAAGAAATATCTCTTTAAATGGAAGAGTGCTACTTACTAAAGCTGAAGGTTTATCCAGATTAATCTATGCTGCTTGGTCTTACAACTAGAAAACATAATTTGTAAAACATAGACAAGTTATTATTTAACTTTGTTTGGAGAAATCGTGCACATTACATTAAAAAAACAGTTGTAATGAACACTTACGAAAATGGAGGACTAAATATTTTAGATTTTAATACATTGAATTGCACCTTTAAAGTAAATTGTATGAAACAATTTTTAAAGTGCCCCACATCAATTTGGAATTATATCCCTAATTATATTTTTTTAACAGCTGGGTGGCTTAAACTTTCTCTCCCTTTGTCATTATAATATTGAGAAGTTACCCGTGAAACTCTCTGCATTTCACAAGCAAATGCTTGGTCTCTTATTTATAAACACAACTTTTCTCCACACTTTTTAAAATTTGAATAATGGCAATATACTCTACAAAAATAAATCCTTATTTCTTTAGAGTTGGTATGAAGAAAAAAAATATATTTTAGTTCATTATCTCTTTAATGAAAATGGTCTTTTGCTATCTTATGAGTTCTTACAGAAGTTTAATTTTCCTGTCTCACCAAAAGAATTCGCCATTGTCTTTGATGCCGTTTCTGCCGGAATTATTACACCGTTAAAGGCTTGAACAGAACTCCATGTATTACACAATCTCTCTGTGATCCATTTGGAACAACAGTGGGTAAAACTTGTCTTGTTTCAAGCTCAACTAACAAAACAAATCCTTTAAATTAATTCACAGATTCTACCCAGTGAGTAGCTATTTAAAAAGATTTAAATTGAATACTAACACAATGTGCGCTTTCTGTAATTCACAAGAAGAAACAACTGTACATTTGTTTTGGTACTGTTCCTACACAAAAATATTTTGGGGTAACTTTTGCAAATTTGTAATTGAGTTATATTCAAATTTTTCTTTGTTTTGGGAAAATGTATTATTTGGTTTTATTGATACAGACAATAGTACAGAGAAAGCGTTCTACTTCATAAATCTTTTACTTTTACTTGCTAAATATCACATCAATAAATGCAAATTCTCCAATAATAAACCGCTTTTTAAGGTATTCATAAAAGAACTGAAACAATACTTTGAAACACTTTCTGGTTCAGGAAACACTAAGGCTAGGAAAACATTATCTTGTCATGCCCTATTTAAAATTCCCATGTAAAAAGCGGTACTTCATTTTGAGATACACTCTTAATATTGTATTTTTATTTAAAGCTTTACTTTTTATGTATCTCTTATTTAACTTATTGTATTTTTTTTCTTCTTTACTGTTTTATCCCCCTGGCATTCTCTATGTTCCTTCTATAGTTCCTAATGTTTCATTATGCTGTATTTTTTTTACAATTTACTGTTTAATAAAAAATAAAAAACTTAAATAAAAAAAGGATGTTACCTCATCCGCCATGTTTACGTTACGTAGCGCAACATATTTAAAGAAATTGCAGGTTTAATGAATCTTAATTTAAAATAGTATATTTATTTAAAAAAAAGTTCAGATGAATTTATTGTTTGTATTAACATTTTTCATCCACAAGTAGCCTGCTAAAATCTCTTGTTTTCCTGTCTGGTTTTATTATTCAACACAAATATATTTTAACTTTCTCATTGTGTATTTTTGTGCGTATACATCTCACATAATACAAGAAACCCATAACATTTATGTCGTTTTTGTTAATTGTAAACGGTACAACCATGTTTTTCAGAGCCTGTATAAATTAGAAGTTCTTTAATTATTAAGAATTATAACAATCCTATAATAATAATATAAATAACGGACAGAAGCACCTTGCATCAGTAACGTGACATCTACCTAGTAGTTTTCAATGCCTTTTTCTTATAGGCTATATATATATAGGGTTCAGATGCAAAAACATTGTGCCATCTGAAATTTCTTTCTAAAATGAGCTTTTTTTTTTGTCAGCCTCCAATATTTTTGTAGTTATTTCTCTTTAAAAGCAATGCAAAGAACCTATGTTTTGCCACAGCTATGCATTAATATTTGCTAGGCAAATGCAGCCAATGTAAGAACATCTTCATTTTCAGTCAAAATATGAAATAAGGTATACATTATTGGAAAATGATTTCAGTAATGACTATAAAAGGAAACATTAATATATGATTTAAAAAAATGAATACACATGAAACAGATTTATTCAAACTTATTCTACAATCATGTAGAACTACATGTTCTGTTGCATCTCCACACAGCTGGGCTGGTTCTGCCGATGATCAGCAGATCTTTATCTGTGTTTGTCATCATCACCAGCATCATCACTGTTGCAGTCTGACTAAAATGGGGTTGAGACATGAAGCTCTCCATGCCTGAGAAACCCAAAATAAAGAGACCACAGAAACATCTGTCAGGGTCTCGTCCACAGCACTAAAGCATATCCATCATCATCGTCTTCATCATCTCCAGCACACTGCAGAGCTTTTTATCCTCAATGAACACGGCACCAGTCTGAGGACATTTCAGATCGTACAAAACAAACAAGTTATTTAAATAGACTAATATCATTTTGTGTTTGAAAATAAAATTATCACCTATACAATTGAACAGATAAAACAAATGAATTATGGTTTATCAGTATTATATGTAACGTTAGCTAATAAAAACAGTGTTGACAGCAGTGAATTCTACATCAGCACGAACGCATCACTCAGGTGTCTAATGTTGTCATTTGCTGATCTGCAACACTTCTTATACATTTATGTCATACATTTAATAATAGTCTTTTTTTCCTGTAAATTCACGTTTAAAGCATAATGTTATGTGCTTCAAGTTCCTACATAATTATGTTTTAGAGCAAAATGAAACAAACATAACGTTACTATAAAGCATCTTTACTCTTTCGGACTCCAACTCGCAGAAACCACCTGCGCTCATCAACAATGATAACAGCTGACAATACTCCG